TAAAAATACAAAACACTCTAGTCTTCTGTTCAGAAACCTCTCGCTTCAGCCAGTAAAACAGTGATGGAAACTTTCTGCTGGGTGAAGGCTCAAAGACTGTGGAATGATTTGTCAAAGGCCACATTCCCGCTGCATAATGTCTCGGCTGCTGAACACCAACCCATATTCTCTTGTGCTTACATTTTCTGTAGCAATCTCCTTTCATCCCCAGAAGTCCAAAAATCGCTTAACTATAAGAATTACTTCATCCAGTATTGGAATGCAGCCACCTCTGTGGAGAAATATGGTAACTGTTTACAGAAGAGTTTCTTACATAACTAGCCAATTAGCCCGTCATAAGACAGGATTTTCAGGTCTCCTCCACGTCGGTCTTCTCTCCGTAGCCTCCGGTCTCTCGCTCCATCTCTCTCTCTGCTCCTCATACTGCCTTCCCCCCGCCCCCCCGCAGCTCTCCTCCGCCTCCTGCCTCTCTGTCTCTCTCTTTCTCTTCTCCTCCCCCTCCTGCCTCTCACTCGGGGGACCGCGGAGCCTAAACGGCCGTTTTGGGCTCTGCGCGCCCCGTGCTGCATAGGAGCGCGGAGCCCAAATGGTCACTTACGCCATTTGCTCCCACATGGCGGCCCGGCTGAGCGGCGCAGAAGTCAGCCAAGCACCACGACTGATGTTCACGGCCAGGGGGCGGGGCCTGGAGCTGTTGTCATGCCGCACATCACTGCCCCGCCCTCCTTTGCCTCCCACCATGTCACTCGGCTGACTTCTGCGCCACTCAGCTGGGCCGCCACGGGGGAACAAGCGGCACAAGTGGCCGTTTGGGCCCTGCACTCCCCATGTAGCACGGGCCGCCCAGAGGGAACAGCCAGCATTTTGGCATTACAGACTTACAGACACTGGGCTACTATATTTATGAAAGCAGCTGCGGAGCGTCCACACTGATGCTATTTTGAAATAACTATTTTGAAATAAGCGTTATTCCCTGAGGAAAGCAGGAGTACAGATTTCAAAATAACCAGCCCGCTATTTCGAAATAACGGGCTTGGTAGTGTGGACACTCTGCTTATGAATTTGAAACGAGGGGGGTTGTTTTGAAGTCAATACCTAGTGTAGACTAGGGCCCAGGGACTAACACACATATGTACAGTATTCCATTGGCCATCACCTACAGCCCACAACTAAAACCCATCCTGCACATTATCCACAATCTACAACCTATCCTGGAAAATCACCCCCCACTCTCACAGGCCATGGGGACAGGCCAGTCCTCACCTACAGACACCCCTCTAACCTCAAACAAATTCTTTCCGGTAACCACGCGGCCAGCTCCATCATCATCCAGGAACCCATCCCTGCAATCTGCCCTGGTGCCAACTCCGTCCACACATCTACATGAGCGATTTCATCACTGGAGGGCGGTGGGGAGGTGACGTTCACAGCCCGGGGGCGGGGCCTGGAGCCACTGTCACGCCGCACGTCACCGCCCTGCTCCCCTTCCCCTCCCGCCGTGGCACTCGGTTGACTTCTGTGCCGCTCTGCCAGGCCGCCGCGGGGGAGCAAGCGGCCGTTTGGGCCCCACAGTCCCCATGCACCATGGGCCGCCCAGAGGGAACAGCCAGCATTTCAGGCAACAGCGCTGCCCAGAGGGAACAGCCAGCATTTCAGCATTACAGACTCTCAGACATTGGGCTACTATATGTATGATTCTGCATATTTCATTTGGCAAAATAACACCATATAATCAGACCTGTTTAAATTATTTTGGTAATTTATTTCAGGAGCAAACGGATGTTTGGGCCCCGCACTCCCCATGCAGCACGGGCCACCCACAGGGAACAGCCAGCATTTCAGCATTACAGACTCTCAGACACTGGGCTACTGTATATATGATAATGTCTCGGAGGCAGAGCTGCGTTAGTCCATAACTTTAAAAATAACGAGTAGTCCTGTGGTACCTTAGCCCTCATCTGCACTAGGACTTTTTCAAAATAACCCCCCTTAAATTGGATTTATAAGCAGAGCATCTACCCTACCAAGCCCGTTATTTCAAAATAACAGGCTGCTTAATTAGAAATCTCTGCTCCTGCTTTTCATCAGGAAGAACACTAATTCTGAAATAGTTATTTTGAAATAATAATACATCAGTCAGAGATGGTCTAGACGGTACTGGGTCCTGCCGTCAGGGCAGGGGACTGGACTTGATGACCTCTTGAGGTCCCTTCCAGTTCTAGTGTTCTATGATTCTATGATAACAGTAGGATGGATGCTCCAGTGCAGCTATTTTGAAATAACTACTCTCTAGAGTAATTCGAACTAATTACTCCCCAGTGCTTCCTGGGGTTCTAAGTCTGAGGTAGTGTGTCCACATTAAGGGAGCTTGCCTCGGACTAATATGGATGCTTCCCCATAGCGAGGACACACTATTTTGAGTTTGTAAATTTCGGAGTTAAGTCAATTGAAGTAATTTTGAAATAGTTTCCTAGAGCAGACATGCCCTTAGAGACTGACAAAAATATATCTCATATCATGAGGTTTTGTGGGCAAAACCCACTTCCTCAGATAAGCTGGAGAGGGAAATAATAAGTAATAATAATATGTAATAAAGGACTACAGAAGGACATTGGCATTATTGATGGACAATATGTGGGATTTTGAGCAAATTTAGGGTCTGAGTTCAGAGGGACACCTCACACTATGTACAGGCATGTACTTTGAGTGCAAAATTTCTCTAGCTGGCAAGCTAATGATCTGCCAAACTTCAAGGGCCTGTCACCCAAGCCCCTTGGCACTGTGTGATGCTGCTGCAAAGCATATTGAATACCCCCAGAAACGGACTGTACTCTCTGCCATATTCTTTGAAAGCAAACAACTCCAGGTACTTTGGGGCCAATAGTCCACTCACATAGGAAAAGGCCAAAGAAAAAGTCTTGGACCAATCCCAAAAGGTGGCAAAAACTGGGTTCAGCTTGACTTTTTTTTTGCCAGTACCAGTGAAAGCAGGGCGCTCTTGCAGCATGTGACTAGAGTTTGTTCAATTAGATTTGGCTGGAGACTCCCATTCGGGCAGGTGGATGACTAACTGATGGGACATTTCTGTCCAGAGGAAGAGGGCATCAAACATCTGATGAGCCTGTGACTGGGCATAAGAACTGTGTGGAATATGTGGTACCAGAGCTGGGCTGGTCCTAGCGAAAACACTGGGAGCTAAGAATCTCCAACATTTAGGGCATGTCTACACTGCAGGGCAAAAGTCGAATTAAGCTATGCAACTTTATCTACATCAATTGCATAGCGTAAGTCGAAATAGCTTAATCTGGCTTTTGGCGCTGTCTACACAGCAGGAAGGGGAAGGAAGAACACTCTTCCTTCAACTTCGCTTACTCCTTGTGAAATGAGGATTACAGAAGTCGGGTAGGAAGACCTCC